AGGAATATAATAATATATATGTTTTTAAAGGTTCGAACATGCTAAATGCTTGCCAGTATAGTTATCATCTCTAAAAATGCTGGGGTATTATATTATTATAGTTTTTCTTAATTATGTGTTTTTATCATTACAATTTTTTTTATCTCTAACAATGGTCAAAAACCGTTGCAGCAGGATACAAAACCATTTCCTATAGACTATAGGTATAAGCAATGGTATTTGAGCATATAACATGTCATCGTTACCTATAGTCTAAAATAATGTTTTTTTTTTTTCCATATTTTGAATTAGGCACAAATCATAAAATTGTTCCTTACAGTAAGACAATAAGCAATGATTTTGTAATACTGAAATAGGCAACACGTTTAACTTGTTTGGGTAAGAATGGGCAATATATTTTGCCTGTTGCTTATAATATAAATACAGACAAGATTTAAAAATTGTTGTGAAAACATTAAATAACTAAAATTTAATATTTTATTTCTCGCCTAGGATTTGAACATTGATATCCTCTTGAAAAGAAGGGATGACTCTAATCACACTTCAAACATGACCTATATATATATATATATATAATTTTTAAATTTATCAAAATAATAAATAAATAAATAAAAAATAAATAAATAAAAATATATAGAACAATTATCAAAAATAAAAAAAATTACTACAAAACAACTAGCAACAGTTTTTAAATGTTATGAAGAAAAAGATTTATTAGTAACATTTATTTTTTTAATGTTCATTAGAATAAAGGATTAATATGTAATTTGAACCCTGAATTATAAGTCCAAGGCATTTAAACCCTAAACTTTTAAAAGGTACATTCCGAATCCTAAACAATTAAGATTGGGGCAATTTTACCTCACCGTTAAATTTCAACAAATGTCCGTTGGTTTTTTTTAAATTGCCTAATATATGTTTTTCACCAAATCACGCTCTCCCTCTCTCTCTTACCTTCATTTGGTGAAAGTCACACATTAGGTTCTAATTTGACGAACGTTTGTTTAAACTTAACGGTGAGAATAAAAGTGCCCCAAATTTAATTGTTTATGATTCAAAATATACCTTTTAAAAGTTTAAAGTTCAAATTATCCCTGAACCTATAGTTTAGAGTTTAAATTATATATTGACTCTTGAATAAATAACAGTTTTGAAATCATTCGTGCAATGAAAGTGCCTATATACTAATGGTGCCAAATAAGTTTTGAAAGGTTTCGACACTTGAAAACTATTGCATATTTTATTTTAGAGAACAAATTTCAAATGTTGCCAAAGATCTGTTGCTTAAATTAGGGATCAATAGCAATGTATGAAAAATATTCTTTATGCTCACATTAGGCAACACTGTTAGGACTCTACTATGAAAAAAAATGTTCTCTGAAGCAAAAAATAAATGTTGTAGTATATATCTTTATTCATGCCACTAGATATAAGTATAACAATTAAAATTTAGAACACTCAAGTTATTTTTGATAATTTTTAACATGGGTTTGTAAAATGATTAGTTAAAATTGGAAGCAGTTAAAATTGTGTCATACTTGATGTTGAATCCAATGTACCTCAATCACTCAATCTAGCTTGAACCTTACCAAAATTTTTAGATATAGTACAAATTTATTACTTTTGAATTAGTCAAGATAATTGGTGTTAATTACCTAATTAATTGGTGAACCAAATATCTATGTAAAAGGTATCACATTGTATGAGAGGTGAAGCGATTGAATTATACCTAAAAAGGGAGGTTAATATAGGTCCTCACCTTAATTATGTGTTTCATCTCAAATTGTTTTTGGGGTTTGTCGTATGTCATTCAAGTGAAGGATTTTTTCTTTTATTGTAATTTTCAATCATAAATTCATTATCATCCATGAATTTATTCATTTTCTTTTTTAATTCAAGTCATACATGTCTCAACAGATGGTATCATGAGTCCCAAGTTTCACTGGGCCTTGACTAAACCAAAACTCTGATCTCATTAGTCAAGAAATTGGGCCGGCAACTCAAGAAACAGTGATACAAGTAGTATAATACGTTAATATAGCTGACAAAACAAGACTTGCTTGATGCTTTATTTTTTTTATATATCACCAATATTTTAATTAATTAGGTGCTGAAAATTCAATTATATTTCTATATTATTTAAACAGTGCTTATACAAATACTTACAATTTATCTATCAATAATGGCCTTACATCAACAATAACATTTGATCTCATGATTTTGTTCATTTTTTGGTTCTTTTTTGTCGGTCTCAAAGAGTCACTTTGGGCCAGATTACCCAAGATCCCAGTTCCCATCATCTTTGCTTTAGAGTTACCCTAGTTTACAATTGCTTTTGCTGTCTCGCTCACTCTGGTCAATGTCTATTTGATTTGGGATTGCTTTGCTCAGTTGTCATGAATGAGCTTATTATCAATATGCTTAAGATCATGACAAAGAGATTAATGGGTCAGATATTAATCTGACTGGGCCTAAGAAAGTTTGTACAGTGGTTTTAGAAGATGCGAGAATAAATCGAGAAGCAAAAAGGGTTTTGAAGGTGTGAAGAAATTTGATCGTGTTTGTGCTACTCCCGCAGTGTTGAATTACTTTTAATTTTAATATAATTATCTGATTAGGCATCCATTTGATGCCACGTGTGCACACACTTGGGTAGGATCTACTAACTAAAATTAACATCCCCTGTAATGGGTTAAAACCAAGACACGTATAGTTACGATTTTTTAACATTTAAGGAGGAAAATGTTTCATGCCAAAATCGAGTTTAGGACATTAAATGCCTATCAGGAAATGCTTCAAGGATGCAAGCGACCTTATTAATTTCTAATTGGATGCCATGTGTACATTTTTTGTCAAAAATTGGTTAATAGATTAATCATTGGTGGGGGTAGAAATGGATGTGTTTTTAAATATTAAGGGATGTTTTGACCAAAAATCAAGTTTAGCACATTTGTAAATCCTAAATGAATACTTCGAGAGCAAAATTGGTCCTTAAACCAAACACAGAAAGATGTTCATATACTTCAAAATGGCCAATATATTCTAATTGGAATTGTGACAGCAATGTGAGTTTACAAATCATTAGTATATCATATTAAATTAAAACAATTGATTAAATTTATCAATGTGGTATTAATATGAAGTTAATATTTTCTTATCATTTGTTTTTCTCATTGAAGAAATATATTTCCTTTATAAAAAAAAGTAGGGTTTATAATAATTTGTTATAATTTTATATTTTACATTAGTAAAAGGAAAAATTACATTCAGGTCTCACAGAAGTAAGTTTATTATTGAGAAGTCTCATAAATTTTATAAAATACTCCCAAGTCTCAAATTCTGAGTATTGATGACTTGACTAAGGATATTAATAATTAGTAACAGCCATTTACAACTTGCTATTACAAGTTATAAATGAGCGTTGCCCAATTATTAATGTCCTTAGTCAAGTCGTCAATGTTTAGAATTTAAAATTTGAGAGTATTTTATAAAATTTATGAGATCTCTCAATAATAAACTTCTTTCTATGAAACTTGAATGTAATTGTCCCTTAGTAAAAGTAGTTTTGGTGGAAAAGGAGAAAATACTGTTTTGTCAATAAAAAATTTTTAGGGGTATGCAGAAAAAAAAATAGTGTTAAAAGATAAATATAATTTTACCATTAAACTAATTTTCAAAAAACATATATTATGGCCGGAGCCGGCAAGGTTTAAGCCGGAGACGTAGGGGAAGGAGATGCTTGTAATTTGCTATCGTTTGGGATGGGAAGAAGGGCGTGTTTGACTGAAGCTCTGTCCCGGCTAGACGACGGCTGTGTGATGATGATTAGTGCTTTGATTGGAGAAAGGCCACCTGTGCAATTCGAGTGGACCCACAAGTAGAATAAATGTCTACTTTTTCAAATTTGACAGATGGAACAATCCACTTTGATTTAAATAATTGATAAATTATTTTACACGGTTTCATAATATAAGATACCAAATATTTTTTGAAAAATAATTTAAGATTTAAGAGTGAACTTCCTGAATTGTTAATACTCCATTGTCGTATTTCTATTATATTTCTCTCCACTAGGTTTGTTAATCGTTACTAGATCGTTACATCAGTAACCTTGAAGGTTAAAAAGAGCTCATAGTGGTCATGCTGAAGGCCAAGAAGCAACTTTAATTTTCATGTTGGTGGTTGGATATCAGGGGCTTATGTTGATGCTTTAATTTGGGATATTGCACGCCACTTAACTGCTGAAGACATTTTGGTCATCTTGTTGCCAATATAGCTCATAGAAGACATGATGCAGTGCTTGCTGCAAGTGGGTCAGACTCTGTTTATGGATGAAATGGAAGGATGTAGATTTGACTACTTGAGCATATAATCTATATTACTGAGAAATAGCAGCAAGCCACGAAGGCGCTACTGCTAATATAACGTAAAAATTGTTAACTCCTATTTGAAAGGCTAGCAGATTATACCTCAGAATTGGAAACCAACATACAACGTGCTCGCACAAATATAAAATTGGATCAAAAGTAATTATACAGAAATATTATTAATTAATATTGGAAATTTATCACTGAATATGTAATTGTCATGTTAAATTTTAATACATAAAAAATTTGCTAATATATATTATTTATCACAAATAAATCACAAATTAATATTTTATCAATTAAGGAGTTATTTGATTTTTAATATAATATTATTATTGTTTTAAAGGATACAAGAAAACACTCGTTATCATTTCAATTGTATGGAGAAGAATGGCTTGCATCGGTGCTGCTTCCAAGTTATTCGATCATTTCCTCGTCGTCATACTTTGGCTGTCCATATTTCAATAAAATTAAACGGAGAACAATCAATTTCAGCTTACAAAGCAGATCATTATTGTGATTTTCCTGAACTGACTCATGACAAGATTTTGAATAACAAGTAAAACCAACATGAGGATTAATATAACCAAAATGAAAAGGACAACTTTGACATGAAGAAAGTGCAAGAAGTTCCTATGTGTGACGCTTATTAACCCTTGTCCTTCTCTTCTCTAGAAGATCATTCACCATACTTGCAATCCACAGCGGTTTTCCCTGGAAAATCACAACCCAAAACATTGATGCTCCAAATGAGAATCCACACACATAACCCAACAGAATAGGTTTCCATCCAAATTCAAAAAACCCAGCATCAGAAGTTGAACTTGGTTGTCCCGGTTGACTTATCTCATGAGTGACACATGGAATGTCAAGTTGAAATCCACGCAAGCCATTGTTTCCTTTAAAGGAATCACTTGAGAATGTGTCAAAATGAGGGACTGTAGGAATACATCCTTCAAGCTGGTTTTGTGACAGGTTCAAGTACCCAAGAGAGTCTAGACTAGCCAATTCTGGAGGAATTTTTCCTATGAGCTTGTTTGATGACAAGTCCAAAGATTCCAACTTCCTCAAATTGCCAATTGCGCTTGGAATTTCACTAGTGAGCTGATTATGTGAAAAATTGAGTCCCTTCAAAGCACCAAGCTCTCCAATAACTTGTGGAATTTCTCCTTTGAACATGTTGTTGGATACATCAATTGTTGTAAACACAGTCAAGATCTTTTCTAAATGGATGTCATTTCCTTTCATGGTTAACTCGATGGAGTCTTCATAATGTACTCAGGTGTTGTTTTCATAACCCACGTAATGCAAGCCAGATTCTCCTTCCTCTGCATTTCTCATAGCTTTAAAAGATTTGAAGAATGCTGCAGGTAGATGGCCACTAAAATTATTGTTCGACAGGTCCAAAACTCTCAACATTGGGAAGGCAAACTTGGTTTCATCCTTGAAACTAGGAATCAAACCATGTAACTTATTCTCTTTAAGAACAAGTATTTGTAGTTCTTGAAGCACATGAAGCCAATGGGGAAAAGCATCCTCTATGCCATTTCTACCAAGATCTAAGACTTTCATTTGGTGCAATTGATCAAAGATCGAGGAAATGGCCCTCCCAATAGATTGCCATTAAAATTTATGGTCCTCAAATTGTTGCCCTCTTCAAATGATTCAGGTATTGTGCCAGAAAATTGATTCATTTGCAAATCCATCACAGAAAGAGCGAGGCTAGAGCTACCAACGTAGTGTGGAATGGTGCCTGAGAATTTGTTATGAGACAAGTTCAAAATTTCAAGTGAGCTACCAATACAGTGTGGAATGGTGCCAGTGAAGTAGTTGTGGGACAAGCTTAGAAATTCAAGTGAGATAGCATTACAAATAGAAGAAGTAATCTCTCCTTGAAGCGAGTTGTTACTCAAGTCAACGTACTGCATGTACTTCAATGACAAATGGTGCAACTGCACACTTCCTATGAGAAAGTTGTGAGAAAGGTTTAGATATGTAAGGTTCTCAAGGGAATAAATTGACCTTGGAATTGGACCGGACAACTTGTTATTAGACACATCAAGAAATTCCAATGAATGAGAGGATATTTCACCTATTTGACCTGTGAATTGGTTAGAAGAAATAATCAACCACTCCAAAGAAGGTAGAGTAAAACACCAAGAAGGAATTGTTCCATTCAATAGGTTATTGTGCAAGTACAAATATTTTAAAAGTGGAAATCCAGTTATTTCATTTGGAAGATGTCCTTGGAAGCCATTATAAGACAAATCTACATACTCGAGATTTTTGAGTTTAGAAATTGAAGATGGAAATTGACCAATAAAATTATTTGAAGATAAACTTAGACGACTGAGGCTTTGAAGATTTGAAAGTGATGGTGAGATTTGACCAACAAAATTGTTGTTAGAGAGTTCTAAATAAGTAAGTTGTTTGAGGTTCCAAAAGGATTTTGGAATTTCTCCCTGAATTGGCATGAAAATAGATCTAAACCCAAGAGGGAATTACTCCAATTTGACTTTGGAAGATAGCCTGTGAGATTCTCGTTGCCATTCAAATCTATCTCTTGAATATGTAGAAAAGAGAAGATTTCGTCTCCCAAATTGCCTTGCAATCCATTGCTAACAAAACTGAGAGAGATCAAAGAAGATGAAATATTCTTGAATATATGACTTGGTGATATTGATGACATATCCACAAGTGTCAGCGAAATATCCTCTATATGAGTGGCATTTTTTGTTAGTGCCTCCCAAGTGTTTGGTTTAAAACTTACAGAATCCATAAAATCAAGAGAAACCAATTTGTGTAGATGAGAAATTTGAGTTGGAACTTCACCAGAAAAGCCAGAAGCGATGCGCAAGTCTGTCAAACTTACGAGTTGTGAAAAGTTGGATGGTATGTGAGACTGCTGAAAGTCATTTAAGCTAAGGTCAAGCATTTGAAGAGGGGTAAGTTGGAAGAGACTATTGTTGGGAAGAATTTTACCACGAAGGAAACCACAACGAAGGTTGAGATTAATTACGTAACCTAATGGATTGCAAAAGACCCCATCCCATAAGCAACAATTTGTACCATTTTCCAAGAAGATGTCTTGGGGTGTGGAATGATGTTATAATGGTCTGCACAATTAAGATAGAGAAAAGAAGACATAGAATAGGGATCAGTTAAATCAGAAGGATCAAGTTTTATAATGGAAAATGAGTTTGGAGAACCATGATGGAGAACCAAAGGAAGAAGAAAAAGAGTACATGAGAAAGAGGTGGAGACAGAGAACTGAAGAGAGTGAGAACCACGCCATGTGAAACTACAAACACTTCAAAGACTCTAAACAATGTTGAGTACTGATTGCTATGAGCAGTGAGGAGAAATCCCTATATTTATAGCTTAAGGGAGGAGAATCATTTCAGCTGCAAGGGGCAAAAAGAAGAAAAATAATTACTTATTAGCATTTAATGCTTGAAAAAAGATTACTGGAAGGATTTAAATGTTGAAATGACTATGACATTTTTGGATGAAATTAAAACTTAAATTTCAATTATAATAAGTTAAATGTCATTTTTATTATCAATGTAATTAAAAAAACTAGTTCAAAAAACATGATGGAAATACTATAGCTGCTTATATTGAACATGTGTGATTCGAAATGTTTCATGCCAATTAAATTTTCTAGCCCGCCCACTGTTATTTCGAGGTCATCCCGCAATTTAGGGCTCAGAATTATTTAATTTAATTTCTTAACCAACATAAACACAATTATAAACTGATGAGAAAATTAATAGTTTAATTTTTGAAGAGTTCTTTCATTAATATATGTTTTATTCTCCAAATTTAATTTAGCCATGTTGGGTTACCGTGATAAGGGTAAGATTGGCCGGGTGTAGGTGGATATTAAAGGTTCAATCCTAATGTAATGACAAAAAATAATAATTCTTTATTCAATTAAATTTTTTTTTCTTCAACTGATAATTGAAAGTTCAACAAGTTAAGAGACTACATTGAGCCACCCTTAACTTTAGCTGACCCGTATACCTAAAATAATATTAGGAGGTATAAAAAGCACATTAACTTTTTAAATTACATCATAGCGGTTTTAAAAAATAATAATAAATAGAGAAAAATACACTAACATTCCCTTTATTTTCTTTTAATTATAGAGACCTCTTTTTTATTTTTAAAACCATATAAACCTCCCTCAAAATCAAAATTTGCATAACACATATCTTCCTTCTATTTTAAAAATTATTTTTACATCCATCCAACCCTTGATTAATTGTTAAATAATATATTTTAAATATTGTTTAAAAGTCACTTTAGTTTCTAAATGGTAATTATAATATATAAATTGAAAAAATAATATTAAATATAAATAAACTTATTTATATAGTATATAATTTTAACAGTAATTTATATAAGCTTATTTGTATAGTAATTTAATGAAATTTCATTCAAAAAAATTATTCAATTAGAAAATTTCTTCGAAAAAATAATTAGAAATTTAATATTACAAGAGATAACTTAATGAAGATAATTTATATTATTTTATTAGTTTTAATATAATTTATGTTTAGTGTTTGTGTGTGTGTGTGTCTTGGCCAAAAAATATAACGTTAATATTCTATGAAATAGTAGGAAAGAGAAGACGTTAGATTATGAAGGAAAATTAATAAATTTTTAATTAGTCCATGCCTAACTGCAGAAAAAGCGCAAGTATATATAGTCAATTTTCAACCCCTCCTGAAGTTATTTCCAGGTCATTCCCCAATCTGTAATTCAAATCTATTTAATTTAATTTCTGAACTGACATTAGAAAACAAAATATAAAATAATGAACATATTATGAATTCAATCTCCAAAGAGTTCCTTCTTTAATTAATTTATCATAATGAAAAATTATTTTAATTATTTATTGAAGACCATGAAAAATGAAAACCCTATTTATAACATGAACTCTTCAATTTAAATTTAAATTTGAGCTACAAACTATGACAAGCACAAACCTAAAGAGAGAGTTCATTTTAAAAGACTAACCTATTAGGTGAGAAAGCCCCTTCAATTCAACTTATAAATTCCACATTACTTGTGAGACTTTACAATGTAGAACTTGTGACAATGCCACCCTATCAAGAGGCAGTTCACTTTGCCTTCTATTGGTCAGAAGGCTCCATTGGTAGCCTTTTTGGTGACACTGGCCTCTCGATGCAATTGTTCAATTAGGACAAAGTGTTGATAATGAAGTGCAATTGACAAGTCTCCTCACATATGAATATTGACTTCCAAGGCACTATCCAATAAAAACCGTTCAAAGTCTTTATACCATTCTATACGTTTGTTTTGAGAATGTGTGATGCGGAATGCTTCATGTGTCAATTCAATATATACATGAAAGACTTGGTCGTATACCCTTTTTATTGGTTTGATTTTTCTTCTCCTAAACCTTCATTGTCTCTTGTTTCATTTTTCTATGTTAACTACTTCCTATTACTGAATACTTAACACAACCGAGCAGTGATGTCTATGTCTACACAAGCCAATTCACATACAACAGTATAATTTTTAAAATTATTCTTAGTTCTTCTTGAATTTGTAATTTTATATCTTTGCATATATTTTACAAAAGTAACATCAAAATTAAATCTAACGTAGAGAAAAAGAAACATGCATTGACCTACAAAATTGAAGTCATTATACAGAAAATAGTTGCACGGTATTGGTGCTTCATTGCTTTGATTTTTCTTGACCTAATCCTTTCCATGTCTTTTTGTTTCGTTTTTCCACCTAATGGAATATTATTCCAACTGTGCCACTTTTTTCCCCATAAACCTCTCATAAATGAAGACATATCTCTATCATAATTACATTCTTATTGAATAGTTGCTTTCAAAGTTCACAATATTCCAGACGCATGGTTTGAAAACACATTTAAGCATGATGCCATAAAACTGCGAGATTTTTGTATAACTTAATGTTCCAAATTAGAGAATTTTAATTTTTATAAAAAACCAATAATAATAATAATAATGAATAGGAAAATTGTTACATACTCTATTCCTAAATACAGTAAAGGCCAATCATAGCAAATTTTCTAACGCTCTCAACGTTATTTCCTGGTCGTTCCCTTATACACGATTGAGAATTATTTAATTTAATTTCTGTGCCGACACTAGCCAAAGATAAAAGACTTAATGAACGTTCGAAGTCTTTATACCATTCTATACGTGTGGTTCGAGAACGTGTGATGCGAAATGCTTCATGCATCAATTCAATACCCCTTGTCACATGTCGCAACAAATATATACTCACACATAAATGTGAGTTTTTATGTATGAAAGACTTGGTAGCACCTTTTTATATATTATGTCTATGTGTTTGTTGATTCACAAGTATTCTTCTCAAGAGGATGAGGGTTGCTAAAAACACATATACACAAGATTGATCGTTCACTTAGACGGAAGCTTCTTCCAGGGTATGTACATAAAGCATGAATTCCATATGACAAGGCTTAAAAATGATTACTGAAATCTAAAGATAAACTTCAGTATTTAGTGGACTTGAGATTCTGATTTTCTTATTTGACGTTAATTAAACCTAATGCTATTTATAATTTGTCAATGTTTGAGAACTTTTGGGGCTAAAGCCTATATTATGCCACAAAAATTTATATAGAATAGGATAAAAGACCATTTTATCCTTAAACTATAAAGTCATAACTGGAATCCTGAATTTTTTTACAAATGGAGAGAGAGTTGAATTTATTTTGTCATTCCCTCCACAAACAATTTTATTTGAAAGTGTTCTGAACCTCTTTGTATGAATCTATTGTGTTTTACCTGCATGCATGCAACAATAGTTGAAAGGCCATCGCCGCAGAATTAGAAAGCAACAAATAAGTTGCCCGTGCAACTGTAAACATTGGGTCACAATAAATTTATATTACTAATAATTTGATATAATATATATATATATATATAATTTTCGTCATCACTCATCACAAATAAATCATAAATTAATATTTCATCAATTAAGGTGTTATTTGATTTGATTTTTAGAATATTATTACTTTTCAATTGTATGGAGAAGAATGATGGGGCATTGGTGCTGGCTCGAAGTAATTTGGTCATTTCTCTGTCTTAATTTTTGTTGTTGTCCGTTTCAATAAATTAAACAAAAAAACAATCAGTTTCATCTTGTCATATATATATATATATATATATGTAATAAAAAATGATTATTGTGATTTTCCTGAACTCGTTTAACACCAGATTATGAATAACAAGTAAAACAACATGAATATTATTAATACAACCAAAGTAAAAAAAAGGCAATTTTGACATGAAGAAGGTAAAAGAAGTTGCTAAGTGCGACGCGTATTAGCCCTTGTCCTCCTCCTCTTTAGAAGATTGTTCACCATTCTTGCAATCCACTGACATTTTCCTGAGAAAATCAAAACCCAAAACATTGATGTTCCAGATGAGGCTCCACATATATACCCTAGCAGAAGAGGTTTCCATCCAAATTCAAAAAATCCAGTATCACAACTTGGTAATAGTGGTTGACTTTTCTCATGAGTGATGTAGCATGGAGTGTCAAGTTGAAATCCATGCAAGCCCTTGTTTCCTTTAAAGGAATCACTTGATAATGTCTCAAAACGTGAGACCATAGGAACACATTCTTCAAGCTTGTTCTGTGATAGGTTCAAGTACCTGAGTCAAGACTTGCCAATTTTAAAGGAAATTTTCCTACAAGCTTGTTTGATGACAAGTCCAAGGATTTCAAGTTCCTCAAATTTCCAATTGAGCTTGGAATTGCACCAATTAGCCTATTATTTGAAAATTGAGTACTTTCAATTTGCTAAGCTCTCCAATAACTTCTAGAATTTTTTCTTCAAACATGTTGACGTATACATCAATTGTGGTAAAAACAGTTAAGATCTTTTCTAAATGGATGTCCAGTCCTTTCAAGTTTACCTTGATGGAGTCTTGATACATAGATTCATAACCTATGTAATGCAACCCAAGTTCTCTTTCATCATCCTTTCTCATAGCTTCAAAAGATTTGAAGAATATTGCAGGTAAAGGGCCACTAAAATTGTTGTTCGACTACTCCAAGACTCTCAATTTTAGGAACGCCTGGTGGGTTTCATCATTGAAACTAGGAACGGAACCATGTAATTTATTCTCTCCAAGAACAAGTGCTTGCAATTCATAAAGCACTTGAAGTCAATGGGGAAAATTATCTTCTATGCCATTCCTACCAACATCTAAGACTTTCAATTTTGTGCAATTGACCATAGATCGGGGAAATGACCCTTCCAATATGTTGCCAACAAGATTTAGGGTCATCAAATTGTTTCCCTTTTCAAATAATTGAGGTATGGTGCCAGAGAATCTATTCATTTGCAAATCCAACACAGAAATAGCAAGGCTAGAGTTATTGAATGAATGTGGAATGGTGCAAGCGAATTTGTTATGAGACAAGTTCAAAACTTGAAGCGAACTACTAATGCAGTATGGAATGGTTTTGGTGAAGTAGTTATGGGACAAGCTTAGAAATTCAAGTGAGGTAGCATTGCAAATAGAAGAAGTAAGCTCTCCTTGAAGTGAGTTGTTACTCAAGTGAAAGAACTCCATGTTTTTCCATGAGAAGTTGTGTAGCTAAATACCTCCTGTGAGAAAGGTTTAGATATGTAGGGTTTTCGAGGGGGAAAAGTGTTCTTGGAATTGAAGTTGATAATTTGTTATTAGACACATCAAGATATTCTAATCAATAAGAGGATATTTCAGCTATTTGACCTGTGAGTTGGTTAGAATAAATACCCAAATACACCAAAGATGGTAGAGTAAAACACCAAAAAGGAATTGTTCCATTCAATTGATTATATGATAAATCTAAAACCCATAAAAGTGAAAATTTGGCTATATCATAGATTAATATGATAAATCTAAAACCCATAAAAGTGAAAATTTGATAAATCTAAAATTACAAGATATTGAATATTGGAAAGTGATAATGAGATTTGTCTAGAAAAATTGTTATCAGAGAGGGAGAGATAAGTAATTAAGATGTGTAAGGTTCCAAAATGATGATGGAATTTCGCCCTTGAATTGGCATGAGGCGAGATCCACATAATTTAAGGATTTCATTTGGTCAATGCAATGAGGCAACTCTCCTGTGAAACTCACATATGAGATATCTAATGATTTTAGGGAATTGCCGCATTAGACGACATTGGAAGATAGCCTGTAAGATTTATGTTATAACCCAAATGTATCTCCTGAAGTTGGGGAAAAGGAAAGACTTTATCTTCCATATTCCTTTGCAATCTAGCTTCTTGAAGCTAGAGAGAGAGTAAATGTCACACCCTAGTACTAAAGGTATGACCGGTATGGAATATGAGATAGACTCACATTCCATAGGCCTTTTAAATAGCAAGAAAATTAATTCAAAATAATGATATAATTTACATATAAATTCAAAATTAATAAAGTTTTAACCATCTACATAAATTTCAATAGAATTTTCCTCGTAATTAGAACCTTCTCAAAATTTCTACAATTACAACAACATATCAGCCAAACCAGAAAGGAGCTTAACTCCACACTAGCAGACTTCACAATAATAAAATAAGACTAGGACCTAACTATGGTTATACGTAGAGTGCTAAATTAATATTTATAATGCAAAATATATTTACATAAAAAATAACTAATGCATGCTTCTATGGTTCCAAAAAAACAATGGTGTCCCTTAGTGACCAACATGAGATAAAAGGTCAATTTCAATATGAGACCAAAGAAAATTTTTCTAGTGAGTAGCATCCCAATTTACAATTGAATGAAATAATATAAAGCAAATTAATGAGTCAATTATAAATTTACGAACACAATAAAAAAATACTGTAAACTATGAATATATAAATACAAATAAAAATTATTAAAATCTTAAGTTTCCTTTACTTTTTTTTGTTTCTACACATACTTGACCATCTTGGGATATATATATATATATATATCACAATATAAAATCCATATATAATAAAAAAATAGCAATTTTCTTTTTGACATCAAATTTAAAGAAAATAGTTTCAAAATTCCTTCTTTAGTTGGACTTAATTAGATGATTAACAAGAGTGGATACACAGTTCATGATGGTAAATAACCAACAAACATGGTTTAAAGCCACAAAATAATCAAGCACGGCTAGAAACTACGAAACAAGTACAGACACTAAGCCCATCAAACAAGCATGAACATGATGCTCATGAATATCCATCTCTTTATTCCACATGCGTTGGCCTGAGCAGGGCGAGTACCTCCTACAGACACCTTATTAGCTAGGTGTATCATGGTGTGCTAAGAGCTAACGAAACTGTCATTAGCATCTAAGGCTCTGAACTCAGTCCCCCTAATTAAATCAAACATGCATTGACTTGAAATATTCATTCAACATCATTTTTTTCAAAATATATTATTCAACTATCAAATTTTCTTTTTAATTTTTCTCTATGCATGAATCACCATGTTAACCATTGTCATATAGGATATAAAATGTAAACAATAGAAATGCTTAGAATAAATAATCATTTAATAATGCGTCGAATCCAAATATTCATTAACTATAGCATAATTCTTAATAAAAATATAATAGATTCTGTAATGAACCAATTAATATAAAAGTGAAGTAAGTAAGAAGAATTGTATAAATCATAAAAATATAATTAACAAAAATGTTTATGCAACTTATAAAAAATAATATAAAAATGTAAATAAAGAAATTTTATAAATACTTTAAGAGAAATTACACTACCCATTCACCTGCAAGTTTTTTTTTTTTAAATTACCCTGATTCTCTCAAGTTCCCACTTATACTCCAATGCCCAAATAATCTAGCGCATAAACCCACAATCCTTATGTCATTATAATTTCCCTTTAAGTGCTGCATGATTATAATAAGTAGTCCAACCTTACAACTCATATAAGTAAAGATATATACTTCTTTAAGTAGTATTTACAATTCCTTTAGGCCCTGATATGAAAATTAAATAGTTTTACCTCCACCAAATTTTAATGTTCAAATATCTTAAAAACATAATACAAACTAAATTATAAGCAACTTCATATTCCTCAATATAAAAATAATTTAATTTTTCAAACAATATTAAAGATAATACCATAATCATTTATGTTTTAAGTACCCTTGAGTCCATTATATCATTTGACAAATCTCAATTCATCCTTATACTCCTTGTAAACCATCCTCAATCATCAACCGTGATAGGCCACATCAACTCTTTTTATGCTTTTTTTTTAAACTTAATAAAGTACTATAATAATAATAATAATAATAATAATAATAATAATAATAATAATAATAATAATAATAATAATAATAATCTGATCTAATCATTTCTCCTCTGTTGGTACTTAAGATTCCAACCAATAGCTCAAGTTAATATTTACACATATTTCTTCAAGCTATATTATGACAATTTAATAACTCACTTTCAAGCATTTTCTCGTACATCTTGAGGGCATTCATCAAGAAACTCATGAAGCAAGCATCCAACTAGTATTAACAACTTCCAACATTCAATTTCATACCCAAACTTCAGCTCAGCCCTATAATAAATAACATTCATCGTTAATCACAAATTAACATATCAATTTCCAGAATTTTTTTGACAGCAAAAGTCAGAAAATGAAGAACAATACCGGCAGCTAGAGGAAGAGGAGGGATTGAGCTCACCGCATACGCTCCTGCGATACTCATAGCTGAGATAGGTCGAAAAAAATGAAGACGAGGGCATGCAATACACACCACCATCGACCACAGACACAAGAGGAGACAGAGGATTACAATGGAGAAAGAAATCTCAAGTCTTCAAGAAACCAGCTGTAGAAACGCAACTGCAAAGAAGGGAGTTGAAGACCACTAACAGATCCACAGACAGCAGATGAGGGGGAAAAAACAAGAAGATGAAGTTCTCGCTTCCGCAAACCTAGAACAAAGAAGAAGCAGAGGACGATGACAGGGAAAGGAAATCTGACGACCCAACACTCCTGCAGCGTAACACAACGGCGACGAGACGTAGTTGACGGAGAGGTGAGCAGGTTGACTCTGAAGAGAAGGAAGCACGATGGGAAGAGGCAAAGAGCTAAAGAACGAACAAAAAATCTCTCACTCTCGCTGTTTCTAGAGTTCGAATGGCAGGGGAGACATAAAAATAATAAAATATGATCAAAAAGAAAATTGAAAAAATTACAAGAAAGGACCTAAAGAAAATTAAAGAAAATTATAAGAAAGAGCAAAAAAAATTTTTATAATATAAAACAAAAACAAAACCAAACTCTTATTTAATATAATTCAAACTCTGGACTTTTAAAAAAGTTACTGCTATAAGTTTCACTGAACTATCAATCTCTACTTGCTATAGAACTAATTTTAATAAAATATAAATTGGGAGATTTTTTTTTTAAAATTTAGGGTCATTACACTAAAGCAGATGAAAGATTCTTTAATAAATGATTTACTGGTATCGACGACATATCTACACCATCCAGATGAAGATTCTCAGTACGAGTGACATTTGTTTTAAGTCTTTCCCAATTTTTTGGATCAAGACACAATTGATTCCATTCCAAGAGAAGTGAGACCAATTTATGGAGGTTTCACCTGAAAAATTAGAATACCTCAAGGATAAGTGTGTCAAACTTACAAGATGTGAAAAGTTGGATGATATTGGAGACCCCTACAAGTCATTGTAACTAAGGTCAAGCTTTTGAAGATGGGTAAGTTGGAAGAGAGTGCTGTTGGGAAGGAATTTGCCATGAAGCAGACTACAATGAAGATTGAGGCCAATTACTTGACCCAATGGATTGCAAGTTACCCCATCCCATAAGCAACAATTTGTACCATTTTTTCAAGCTGATGTCCTTGGGAAAGAGATGGTTTCAACAATATCGCAATGTGCAAAAAGCAAAGAATTAGGGTCGGGTTTTCTAATGGAAAATGAGTTCTTGAAGTGTAGCAAAGCTAAGCTTTGGTCAAGACGACGTGATCGAACATCGGAGGAATAAGAATGAGAGTGCAAGAGTATGAGACAAAGAACCAAACACAATGATAACAGCCTCCTCATTTGTGACTGGTAATAATTCTTGTTGGTTGCTGAGGTAATGAGGACATATACCTATATTTATGGCAAAGGGAAAAATTCTATGTATGACCAAAGCGATCGCTTAGTTTTTTAAAAGCACTCACAGAACAAAACGACTTTGATTAATTTACCCAAATTTGAACCTAGCTAGAGGAAAATAAATTTATAACATAATAATTTATTATGATTTTTTGAATGAATTGTAATTTCAGTGAAAGAATTGGAAATGTATTACTTGCGTCAGTATTCCATTTTTTTTAACGATATTTTCTTACCTATTTAAAAGAAAAATAGTACTAATAAAACTTAATTATCATTAAAAAAAGTGAACTACAAGTTTATATAACTTTTCCCCCTTTATGCATGCAAAGCTTGGACGCCAACGTAACTAGACTTACTATTACAGGGCAATTATGTAACCTATGTTGGAAAGGTTGAATTAAATATTAACCTCATGACACATTAATCTTGTTTGAATATGTGTGATATGTGATTGGTGGATCATTCATATTGATCCTTTTGAGAACCAAAACAACTTTTCCTTAATGATATTAAAAGATAAAAGTAAATCAATACGGCGTAAGGGGCACAAGTCAAGTCTAATATCATATATAATTTTTTTATCATAAAGATATGCTGCCCCTTTATTCGTTTCATTTTCAATCTTAATCTTTTTAAGGTTTAAGGATATTTTTGTGTTTCAAGTATTTGCACAAGAGTGTGTGGTAGTCTAAACATTTTTTTATATTCCCCTTCAAGAATTAAAAACAGTGTACTTTTGTCCTTATGGTTAATAAATATTAATTTCAACTGTTAATTGACTGGAAAATAATATAAAAAACATAGTGTTGGAGAACCAATTTTGTTCTTGTTAAAAAATAAAGATTGTGTGAGTGACAAAAGTTATTGAGGAGAATGACAAGTAAGGTCATTATAAGAAAGTTATTGAGAGTTGAGACCTGTACTAGCCACGGTAGTCAAGTGTTGCACACTTGTTTTGTATAATTTATTGCCACAGCTATTCAAAACCACACACATATCCAAGATGTGCTTAATGAGCTTTTGATTAGCAAAAATAAGAGACCCGGATGTAATGATGGCGAACCAATTGATTAATTATATTATTTAAAAGATAAAAAGTAAACCAACACCGTGTGAAGAGCACTAATATAAAGAGTTAAAGATAAATGTATGTATATTATTATTATATATATTATTTTCACTTACAAGTCAGCATACAGAGAGATTACGTAGTGCCTTAATCTTTTTACTGTCTTGTTTTTTCATGGACCAAAAACAATACTCCCTTTGTTCAAAAATATAACACATTTTTAAAAAGTTGGATGTTAAAAAATGTAAGGCATTTTTAATCTTTTAAGGTATAATTATTATCTTTTTTCTAAAAATGCCCTCATTAAATAGATCACTTTATATTTTGTTTAGTGTGTAAATAGGAATAAATATGAAAATATAGGATTAATTTAAAGATTATGGGTGATATTCGGTTAAAAAAGCTTTACATTTTTTAATGGAAGAATATTATTTTCCTACCAAACCTAATTTCATTGATATAAAATATAAACCTCTAACAAATAAAGTATGTATAATATTCATGCACTCTAACACAATAAGATATTATTTCAATAAAAAGTAAATAAATAATAAAGTTTACATTAATACGACATTAGTAAACTTATATTTTAATTTCATATGATATATTGTTGAGTCATATTAGTCTCATAGTTTTAATTGGAGTTGGCTCAATATATAATATAGAATCCAAAATCAGTCATGTACTTGTAAACAATGAGACTCTATAGTTACATAGAGTTCTCAAGTTTTGGTTTAAAAAAAAAAAAAAGCAGAGAGAGTAGTCAATTCTTCTCGACAGAAATCAAAACTCATTATCTTCTTGTGCTAAAGATTTGTGTATATAATAACAAAAAGGTATCAATCAAAGAAGTATTTTATTTGTTCGAATAAGTGTTTAAAGATCCATCAAAGTTCTGAGACATGACCCACCAAGCTACCATGCATAAAGTTCTCTCTGTCTTTTTCTTTTTTTTTCTTTTTTTGGCCAAGACCAATCAAGAAGTTAATTGTAAGCCTAGAAAACTGCACCGTGTTAAGTTAGTGTATTGTGCATGATTCACGCCTTGCCATACTTCATCGCCACGTCGTGTAGAAGCCAAGTAATATTTTATTGTGGAGAACCATAAAGAAACAAAAATATCATAATACTATATTTAATACAAACATTCAGTACTTGTATTATCTAAACTATTAAAATTCATATCAATAATTTTAAATTCATATTCCACTTAAAATTAATGAATGAGTGAGTTTATCTAAATAGTTAATATGAATTTCAATAGTTTAGATAGTATTGACACTTGGTGCGTACAGTTAATTATTGAATCCAAATCCCTAAAATAGACATCTCAATGGACACAAATATTATTTATCAATCATTTAGGAGTAAATGCTTAGAAGTTTAATGAATCATCACCCTATTCAAAATGGTTTGGGAAAATTTCGGGAGTTTATGTTTAGACTTTAGAGGCTTAATGAAATTAGCCAGCGAAATCACTGCCCTGCTCCTTTATGCTACGCTGTACCCTCTATAGGAAAGAGGATGGTTTAATGTGTGTGTGTGTGTGTGTGTGACTCAATTTATTTATTTACACTCATTTCAGCATCTTCATTCTAGTTACTTTTTGTACTATATATATATATATATTATATGCTCTGAGTCTCTAAATATAAGTCTTAATTTTAAAATAGTTACAACTAAAATTGCCCTTCAACTCTTATAACTAATAATGCATGCGGATGCAGGTGTATATGACTACTTAATCAATTATATTAAAAATAAAAAGTAAATCAACAACGTGTGAGAAGCACAAACACGACCAAATTTGTAGTGATGTCCCATTCATTCTTAAGTCAAGTCTAATGATAATCGTATATATAATTGTTTCTGCTCGTAAACATTTTTTATTGAAAAAAAAGTATTTTTTTTTTCTTTTCTACCAGAACTACTTCCACTAATGTAAAATATAAAATTTATAACAAATTATACAGCTTTTCTAACATTCCAAAATTTTGACCTAGAAGTTCAAGAATATGCATGAATTTGGTAAGTTCTAACATTCCACAGAAGCTGCGTTTACCATTATGAATATGAAATTTATAACAAATTATTGCTTTGTTCATAGGCAAAAATGATATTACTTCAATGCAAAGTAAATTCTGGCGAAAAAAATGCAGAGTAAATAAATGATGATAAATAATTAATTTTCACATTAATACAGCAATAATAAATTTTATAAATTATTTTAATATATTTATGATTAGTAAACTCACATTACTCTCGTATATTTTAATTAGAATATATTGGACATTGTGAAGTATATGCACATACCTGTTAAGTTTTATATGTTGAAGATGTTAAGGAGAATGACATATAGGTTCTAAAGGGATCAATTAATTTAAATTTGGTCCTAACCGACTTTAAAGTGCCAAATTTCAAAAATTTACAAGTTCAGCTCTTTAACTTTTGCAATTTCATTATGATGAATTTGTAACTTGTTTTCTAAATTTTAACATGAAAATAAATTTATTTTTCCTATTAAATTTGAAGTACAAGTTATAAATTCCTCATAAAGAAGTTGCAAAATTGAAAGCCGAACTTATAAATTCCTAGAATTTGGCACTTTTAAAATTGGTTGGAATGTAATTTGAATTAATTGGTCCCCTTTAGACCTATTTATCATTTGTTAAGTGTTAGTAAATTCAACCCATGGCCAAACGCAAAGTAACACAGTATATGATGAGAGCGCCTCCTTTTTTCTTTTTCTTTTTTGAAATTCAGTTTGAAATCTCGAAACTCGTCTCTTTTATATATCACTTAATCTCTTTAAGTGTATATATGTATGACAATTTGTTTTCATAATAGGAGGGGGAAAAGCATGAATTCAAATGAAAGAAAAGGAATATGTGTTTGTGCGTGTGTGTAAAGGTTTCAACATTAAAATGTAATATAATAGGGCATATATAATAGTTTGATTAAAGCCTGTAATTCAGACAGGCCAAGCTTATTCGGATTAGATTGGAGTATCCCACCCTCTTAAAAAATCCCATATAACTAAGCTGGGCTCTAACTTTTTTTGGCCGGATTTGAGCTGGCCTAATTGGGCTTGGCCAAAATTACCAATTCTATATACATATAGAGCTAAAAATTCCAACAGTTAGGCTTATTTGGATCAAGCTCAATTCGAATTGGACTTATTTAGATTGAGTTTAAAATATCCTACCTTCTTAAAAAAGCCCATATAACCAAGCCCAATTATAACTTTTTTCGAGTAGGTTTGGGCTAACCCGTCAGGCTTAGCCCAAATTACTGGCTCTAAGTTTGATTGAGGCATTTTCACACTTCCTTTTGGATGATTTATTATGACCATGCTACATGCCAATATAGTTACTATCTCCAAAAATGCTAGGGCATTATATTATTATAGTTTTTTAATTATGTGTTTTTACCACTACAACATTTTTTTATATGTGGCAACAAAAACAAAACATTGCAACAAGGTGCAAAACAATTGCCTATAGGTATAAGCAATGGTTTTGGACAAAACATTGCAACGGGATTGAGATTTTTCAAGCTTTCATGCAAATTTTTTTTTATAACCAACATCATCCTTTCGACGAGGCTGACTTCAAGGGGCTTGTTAATCGTTTGGCAGCAATTGCAGCCAACAGGGACGGGAAATCATTATTGTACCTGGCTGTTGAGGCTGGCAAAAATGAGCAAGTTATTGTTCAACTCATGGACATCTGCATCGAATATGAGCTAGTGCCTAAAGGAAAATCACCTCTCCTTCCAGCACTCATTGAGAGGAACAAAGGTTAGCTCATTGTAATTCACTCCTTGCTTAATTTCTCACCATGCATATATTCTACTTAGATCTAGTTATCAATCATCAGCTCTCGTATTTCTCCACACTGTTCATGCACATGCATGCATATTTATAGTTACTAAGATAGTGAAACATCAATAGCTCAGATCGTTTGGGCAAACTTCAAGGGAAATATTGTCAATATATCGTGCATTATCACCCTTTGTAGCTCAACCAGGGGCAGAACCAGGCTTTAGGTTTTTTGGGGGGGTTTAAAAAATATACTCTCGTTATTGAAAAATATAATACATTTTTAATTGAATTATACCTCTTAATAAGTTAATTTTATTGTTTTTAAATTGATATTATTTTTTTATATTTGTCTTTATTTAATAAAAATATGGGAAAATCATCCTCGGATCTCACATAAGCCATGTCCAACATGTTTTATCAAGATTAAAAGAAATCTTAAAATTCATTAACTTTGTCTAAAAATTTAATAAGTTTTTAATTTCATCCCTATTAAATATGCTTACTATTTTTTGGTAACATTAAATATGTATCCTTTAATAGCATACTTCTCTTGCTAATAATTAATTCTTTCATTTAAAAATGTAAGGCATTTTTAACTGAATTTCACCTCCTAATAAAGTAGTTAACTGTTTTTAAACTAATATCATCTTTCCATATTTATGCTTATTTAATAGGTGTTTTACTTTAAAATAAATATAAATTATTTTGACACTAAAAATGCCTTACATTGTTTAATATTCAAGCCCTCAATCTTATAAGTAGAAAAAGAGGGAAAGCCTTATGTTGTTTAATATTCAAGCCCTCAATCTTATAAGTAGAAAAAGAGTGAATATTATATAAGTGTATACTTCTTTTGTCTTTTATAGAGGGGAGAGGGATAAGGTTTTTTATGAGACTAAATACTTGGAGACCCATATCATGTACGAGAAGAGTAGAGTGTTTGGGGGGGGGGGGATAAGGGGGGGAATGGTTCCGCCACTGAGCTCAACATAATTGATTGATTTTATTTGCATAGTTGAATTCTCAAATAAAAATCACCGCTTCTTCTTGCTGTTTACTTTAATTTCTTAACCCTACGCGCGGGCATGCGTGCGCACATGTATTCCTTAAATAAAATTTAAAAACAACTCTATTAACTATTAACACAAATAAAATTGTATTGTTTTGGCAGATATGCTAGCCACCATATTGAGAAAGAGGTCAAATTGGATTCACTTGAAGAATGAAGAAGGAAGAGTTCCACTTCATGATGCAGCGTCCACAGGTTTCCTTGAAGGTGTTTCCTACTTAATTGAGAAATGTAAGTCCTGCATTATCGAAAGGGACAGCAATGGTTGCTTTCCAGTTCATTTGGCATGTATTGGAGGTCATTTCAAAATAGTTCAACAGTTGCTGAAACATTTTCCACATGTCAATGAGATTGTGGACAACAATGGCCGAAATTTGCTCCATGTTGCAGCTGAGAGTGGAAATTTCGCAGCAGTTAGGTACATCCTCCAACATCCTGAACTTGGGGATTTGATAAATCAGAAGGATAATATGGGGAACACTCCCCTACATTTGGCCACCCTTCACTGGCATCCCAAAATTGTGCATGCCTTGACTTGGGACAAAAGAGTTAATCTCACCTTGCTGAATCATGAAAATGAAACAGCTCTAGACATTGCTGTCCGAACACGTGACCAAAATCCACCCCTCGAACAGGCATGTATCTATGTATAATTGACAATTTCAACTTAATCCAATCTTTTGTTGATATGATGATTGCTGCTAAAGATTCAGTTTATAGCGAGAATAAAAGGGCATCTATTAATTTGTAGCGACTTACATGGAGTGCGTTGAAATCTGCCGGTACGCCACGAAGCTTTGTAAGGCATCGTTCAAGAGGCACAAAAGATGTAGTGAAAAAAGAAGAAACCGACATGAAACATTATAAAGGCAGAATTAACATTGCTGGTACGCCACAAAGCTTTGTGAGTCATCGTTCAAGAGGCACAGAGGTTGTAGCGGAAAAAGAAGAACCCGACATGAAACAAGTGGAACAAGAAGAAACCGACATGAAACATTATGTAGTGAAAAAAGGAGAACCCGACATGAAACATTATAAAGGCAGAATTGACACTCTAATATTGGTTTCAACTCTTATAATAACTGCATCCTTTGCAGCTGGGTTTGCCATGCCAGGCAGCATAGACCGAGGAAGAGCTGTTATGCGACATCATGTCATGTTCCATTTATTCATTCTCTTCCTCACAATCTCTATATTTGGGGCTATCATTACAACCATTATTCTCTTATGGGCTCAATTAGAAGATCTATGTTTGATGGAGTTTTCTCTCGTGTGTGCAAGGCCAGTTCTAGGCATCTCCTTGATGACATTATCTCTGGCATTTTTGGCAGGTGTGTATCTTGTGGTGAGCGAACTCAGCTGGTTGGCCTACACATTCTTGGTAATCAGTGTGGTTCTGATCCTTGTGGTTGTGATCTTATACTCCCTCCTCTGGTTGCCCTCCCCATCAACCTCACGATTCTCTCGATATATTTCTTATTACCCTTTCCTTTTTCTTGCAATGATGGCAGAAGGAAAAAAGGATGCCAACAATAAGGGTTCAACTTCTGGCAGCCCTGACTTTTACTGAATTCTATGGTTATGACTATAATAGATATTCACTTTACTTTTGTTTTGGTGGAGTGTCAGATTTCGAAACATCAGCATAAATTCTTGAGTTTCTCTCAGCTACTCTTGTATGTAGTAGAATATGTCATGGAATTGCCTGACAAACCATGCATGTTAAAATAATATTTTCGTCCTTGATTGTTATGGGTTATTTGGTGTTTATTATAAAAATAAATAATGCATGTTGATGTCACACGCCGAAAAAATTTGGTGTAACCGGCTCATGATTGAGCTCTACTTTTAAGCTATAACATCTGCCTTGTTCACTATATAAAATTCATCTATGATACATAAAAGTTCGCTTAATAAAACTAGTTTAAAGGCAACAAATCTCAAGATTCATCCTTTTGTAGCATTTTATCTGGATGAATAATAAGAGTGAACACAAAGTTTATGAGAATAAAAAATCAATCAAGTACGACCGAAAACCACACACTACTACAAAAAAACATTTTCACTTCATGTCTTTATGTCTTTTCACGTTACTATTGGGGGACATCATATTATGGAAGTTAGAGAAGGGGGTTTTTTCACGTTACATAAAGCAGTGACGTAGATAAAGGAAACCACATCACCCATAGGATGATTGTTGCACTTTTCACATGTGCACGAGCGGTGACAAATAATATAAAATAATCAGAATATCATTTTCACAAAAATTTGTATTAAAAATATGGTCAAATAAAAAACATTGTTAATTCAGTCAAATTGAACGAATCCAAAACATAAGTAGTGTATGCAATATAAATTATATGTATGAAAAAAATATGAAAACAAAGAAAAAAAATTGATTCAAGACTTTTTAAAAGTAATTAGGCCTAAGATTATTTATTCCCTTTTATACTTCAAGAAAACTCAATCAACCCCCAATATATTTTGCTCTTAATGATGAATTATATTAGTCAAAAATATTAAATTACCCACAAGTTCTTTATCAAGTCTCCAAATAAGTGTTTAGTCTAATTAATCCCTTAATCTCTTAATTAACTAATTAAACTCTAATTTTTGTTGTAAATCTTATGTAACTATGTGAGATTAATGAGTGTATTTCTACCTCATCAATAAAACTATCCATTCAACTTTCAAATTTCAAGTTCTCACACAATTAAATTTAAGTAAAGTTCTATACTCAACTTAGCTCTCTTAAGCATCATTCAAGTGAACCCAACATTTAAATGGTGGTTAATCATTTAGAAGCATTAAGTATAGTGTAAAGTTGACATAATCACATCATTAATCACAAATAAAAGGGGAAATGAGCATTTAATTTGTACAAAAGGTTCAAAATAATCCTAAAATCAGGGGTTTTTCTATAAATATTCATAAAACACATGAGAAAATATAAATATATCAACACAAACATTAAACAAAAGGAAAGGAAAGAGAATGGAGAAGAAAAATCAAGATATGAAGCTAAAATCTCTTTCAATCTTCAAATCCAAACTCAATCTTCACCAAAATCCATGAATACTCCCAAGAAGTCCAAAATGGTGGCCAAAGTTGAGAATGGGTCATATATACTCCAAAACCTTAACTTTATCAACTAAATAAAATCCTTCGTTTTACTATCATGTCAAAAGTTGCAAACAGAGTCAGTTTTGCATTATTTTCGCAGTTAACAAAATTGATCCTTTTTGCACTTGATTTATTCATCCAAAAACCTTCCAAAAACATCACCAAATGTCCAGAAATATTTTCCACCAAACCTTAAATCAAAATAACACAAATTAAGTCCAAAATATCAAATCAAAGCCAAGTATGCAATCTCAAAGCACGATGCACAATTTTCTAATCTAAGCAATCAAAATATGTACAATTGAGATAAAATATATTAGAATCTAAAGAAAATGTAATGAAATGATATGAATTTCTAGATGTTAACAATGATGGTGATGTGGTTTCTTATAAATCACATCCCCATCTATACAGTGGTGATGTGGCATATAGTTTTTTTTTAACATATGTCTTGCATTTTCTTTATAGTCAAAATAGAACCTACCAAATTATCCCACAACAACAACCATTGAAGCATAGCAGCACAACAAAATATACCCAATTAAACATGCCAAGGGAACACCAAAACCATTATCACCCATTCAAATATCATTATTTTACAACCAAATTCCAACAAACTATCACAATTGTCTATATAATTCTAGCTAAAATGCTAACTAAATAGACTATGAAATCCTATATAAATAGCTCTTAAAGAAGATAACCTACCAAATTATTTCTAATCTCACATATGTCTTCACCAGTATAGGGGTACTCTCATTGTCAAAAAGTTGTAAATTTTTATTAGATGTTCATTAGATATTCAATTTCCAAAGACTCACAAAACTAAAACTATTGAAATTAAACAACTACTAACAAGGTGTAAATTTGTATTAGTTTTGGATTGAATTGTCACACCCCAAAAATAGGACATGTTCGGCACAGAATATAGGGATAATGCCCATATCCCAAAAGTCTTTACTCAAGAAAACTCTAATTTATAAACCATAAAGACATTTGATAATAAATTAAGCCATCCTTAATACAAACCATACGACCAAAAAGATTTAATATTTTTTAAAAAAATTTTGATAGAATCACCCCTTAAAATAAAATCTCCCAAAAATAAATCTACAAATATTTTACAAAACAATAGTAGCAACAAGGAACTCTCTTCCGATCAGCAAATAACAAAGTATAAATCATAAGGATGTGGACTCTAACTATAGCTTATGTGTAGCACCTGACATAAGAAATTTATAAATCAAAATACATGGGCTTAAGTTTACATTAAAGAAGCTTGATTACAGCTTTTCATCTCAATTGAGTACTATAGCCCCTCAAGGATTAGCGAAAGGCATAACATCAGCTAACGTATCTGAGATCAAAATAATAATTTATAGTGAATAACATCTCAGCAATAAATAATAAAATATGAATAAAAAGAAAAAGTTTAAAATAATTGTGCGAATCAAAGAGACAATAACTTTCATAAAAATATAATAAACTTTAAAATAGAATAGTTATGTAAAATTTTAAAATTATGTCTTAAATCATTGAACTATCATGGCAAATGTTAATAGGACTTGATTCCAAGAAAGCACATAAATGAAATAAAAATTTATAGACAAATTACTGAATAACATCAATGGAACATAAAATCATCAAATAATTGGATTCATAATTATAGGGACTTATAAGAATAATTAACAAACATGGACATACAGTCCATGAGGATAAATAACTAAATGCGGCTTATGCTATGAAAACAAACATGGACACACAGTTTATGAGGGTAAGTAACCAAATGCAACTAAAGCCACAAAGCAAACATGGACACACAGTTTACGAAGTTAATGCTAACCAAACGTGGCTTGAAGCCACAAAACAAACGTAAGTACGATGCTCACGAACAACCATCCCTCCGTTCCACGTGCGTTGGCCATTGCATGGGGCTAGCACCTCCTATAAATACCCTGCTAGCTAGGTGTATCATGGCGCATCAAGTGCTAACGGAATTGCCGTTAGCAACTAGTGTTCTATATAAATTTCCTTTTTAAAACCATTTTCAAGCATGCGAGAAAATCATCACTTTCAAAATACAGTTCACATTCTCAAAATCAAACTAGCATAAATAATTTTAAGCATTAAAACTTCTCAGAATCAAATTTCATATCCAATGCTCATGCTTGCATGTATTGAATAATCAAAAATTGCCAATGCTAATGAAAAGGAATTTTATTAATCTTGAAAGGATATCTTATAAGGGGTAAAACATTCATATGCTATGATGAATCATTTTTCACCACCATCTTAAAACTTAAAAATGAAGAAATTTAATTAACAAAGTATCCATTAATTGTAATGACCTTAAAATTTCAAATATATATATATATTCTCTCAATTTATATTTTATTTAAATTAGTTTATGACAAATGGAAAGTGGTGATATGGTGAAACTTATGCTAATAGTTTATTTGAAGGTCTAGAGTTTAAATTCTTTTGAGCAATAGGTTAAATTTTATTAATTTAAAATTTTTAAAAAAATTACAAAAAGTGCCCGTTTTTCTTGTATTATTAGAGGAAATGCTGTGCCCTCTCTTCTAATTTTCACAATTTTGTAATACTCAGATTTTTATTCCTCTCCCTTCTCGGTCAGACGCACGCATAAGGAGGAAAAATTTCTAGATCCTTCGACTCAAGCTGGTCGCCGATGCCAGCTCCTTCTGTCCCTCTTCGACTTTCCAGTGGGTGCTCGCCGTTGTGCCTCCGGTCAAGTCTTTCCCTTTAATCTAAAATTTTTCCTCTTTCTTTCTTTTCTCAATCGTGTTTTGTTGAACCAGAGAAGAGAAGTCCGGAACTCTTCACCTATTTTCTCTGTTTTCTTCTTCTTCCTTCACCATCTCCATCTACTGCCGCCATGTGTGTATATGAGAGAGAGAGGGAGAGATTTTCGGCCACTGTTACAAGGGCTTCTGATTACAATTTTTCCTCCTCCTCTGCATCTTGCCGTTGTCGTTTGCTGCCTAAGGGGTTCTGTGAAGCTCACAACTTCTTCTATTCTTGATGTCGTCGCTGATGCTGTGATCATCACTGTGAAGTTTTGGTCTGTGTTGCCCTTCAAGTCTTTTTCTTCTTCAACTATGAATGACGGCGTCGATCGTAGTTTTTGCTGTCTGTGTGAAGGTGAGTGCTCAGATCTTCTTCTTCCTTGCCTTTTGTCCTTGTTAGTCTGTGGCTTGTGATGGGGGAGTGACTAAAAATCTTCCTCCTTTGACTGTGTTGTAGCTTGTTGGCATCGAATCCCTTCTCCCTGTACAGCTCGTGACTTTCTTCCCTTTCTTTCTGCATTGTTGATGTTCTGTGATGGCTGGAGATTTTGATTTCTTTCTCGTTGTAGCTGTGTGTGATTAGAGTAGTAGAAGGAAGTCTAATCATACGCAAGATTCAAGCTTAAGAATATGATTT